CAAGCATCCTTGCTACATGATGCTCTCTCTGTCTTCCTTCTCCACTTTGGCCCCTAGGTCCTATGTCCTGTGTGTTGGGCCCCCCCTTTTTTATCTGCTCCTTCTTTATCCTGCATCAAGACCAAAGACCAGGAAGCCCTTTGAATGACTCGCATTCTGTGGTCTCCAAATGACAAGGTCACCGCTTTCGTGAGTGCATAAATTACGGGTAACATCCCCATAAGTTAGCAAAGTCTACCTCATCCCTAGATTGGGGTGCCAGCTGTTGAAATTAAATTCCAGCCTCCTGGAGTCGGTAAATCCCATGCTCTCGCTTTGTTCACAAAGCAAACGCCTATCTTTTTGGTCACAGGGAAACTGTGAAATGTGATTTTCATGTAACCTAAAGAGCCGAAAGTAGGAGGCAAAGAGTGCAGATGAAAGCAAGCCTGTACAACATTTCATAAGTTGAAGATAAATCTTGTGACATGGAGACGTTCTGTGTTGTTATTTCTGAATGTTTGGGATTTCTGATCCTAGCTGCAACCACCCCCTAGCATCATCCCTCTCTTCTGATCTCACTCTGATCTTTCCGAAAAGAAACCTCCATTCCCTTTGTGCTGTTGATCCACCTTCTTTCCTATGCACTCACTGTCCCACTTTAAAGCCTGTAGAGCTGTACAGGCTCATTCTAGGTTGTTCTTCTCTTCAACACCACAGAATCCAAATAACTTGTCAAAACACTGGAGATATATTTTTTCACCAGTTCTTCTCCAAACATAGCAGAGTCACATCTCATGAGACCATTTTTCACAACTGTGTGTAACATGGGCTCCGAGACAAAAACACTGTAAGGACAAAGGAGGCTGGGGTGAATCTCTGGGATACCAACATGATCCAGAAGGCTTTTAACCCTTTAGCTTGCAGTGGGCTAATGCACACACGGTCATAAGACCTGTACCTAGCTACACCTAAAGTCAGCTCAGTGTCAGCTGCTTACAGAGAAGTTTAAAAAGAGTGTTACCGCATGGTAATTCTTCCTCCGATCTGTTCTCACAGCCCTCAGGATTTTGCATATCAGGAACTGGCTTCCAGACAGGCCTGCAGTTGAGATTCAAAGACTCCAGAAGAGAGAGGATCTTGCACTTCATTTGGTAGTTTGTTTCTGTGATTAATCACTCTCCAGTGACTGGCTCTTGTTATTCTTTGCCAGAATACCTGGTAGACTTTTCTCCAGGAAGGGAGTGATACTGCAAGCAAGTCATGTCTCATTCTGCTTTTTGATACATTAAACAGGTTGACCTCTTTAAATTACTGAGATCTCCAGTCTTCGGATCACCTTTGATTCAAAGTTATTTTTAAAATATGGAGCATGAAGCACTGTACAGTTTTCCAGCATGGGACTTATTCAGACACAGAGAGAAGATTAATCATCTCCTCACTCCTTGTCCTTACTTCTGTCTTTGCATGGCCAGGGATCACTTCAGATTCCCTCCTGCAGCCTGGACCACTGGCCTTGTGTTCAGTTTTATGCCTGTTATGATCCCTAAATCTTTTTCAGATGACTCTTTTCAGGACTGTAAGTTGTTATCTGTAGATATGGGCATTTTTTTTCCCTGTTCATGGCTGTGCAGTCTTATAAGAAGTTTTATGAGAATTATCACCTTACCGAGTGGGGCAGGTCATTCTGTGCTGGTCCTGTTCTCATTATTTTTAACACTCTAGCAATATTTGTGCCTTCAGTAAATTGTGCCAGAATGAACTGTGTCTGCTCACCAAGCACTGAATAAAATGGTGAGTCATACCTGACCCAGGACTCATTCCTGGGCATCCACGTAAGAAACACTGCCACTCAATGGTGGGCTTCCAGGGATGACCTCCTTTGTGTTTGCAGGGCGTTAAATGGAGTTAACCAGCTCACTTAACCTCCTGCTCCGTTAATGTTACATAATGCTGTTTATTCTCATCAGCATGCTTTGGGAAATTAACACTTCCAGAAGCCTGGATAGATCTAAGCCATCACCTTTTCCAAACAAACCTGTAGTCACATCAAAGACTGACAAGAACAAAACAAGTTAATGCAGAAAGATCGGTTTTCTTCCAAACCAGGCTGATTGGCATTAACTGGAGAATCTCATATCAGCTCTTTGTTGCTTTTGCCTAGAAACTTTCAGGTCTTGTGTTTGCTCTTTACAAATATTGGCAGGGCACAGCTCTCTTCCAGTCTTCTGGGATGTCTCTGATATTCCAGAGCTTATTAACCAGTTGTTTGGTGAGCAACAGGGCCAAGGAAACTGGGTTCTCTATGGACTTCTTTTCTTACATATTCTATACTTTCCACTACCATATCTTCATGTCTTGATGACGTCATTTCCACAGTCTGCCACATCTGCAAGTCCTTTCCCCAAAAGTCACTGGGCTCCTACCCCCTCCTTCCTCCCTCCCCACTCTATAGCATTATACATCTTTCCCAATATTTTCTGCTTAGTTCTTTTGGCCTGCTGGATGGACTGCTCTGATCTGTGAGGCTTTGCCCAGCAGCATGGCTATGGGCTCTGTTCCAGCACTGGTAGCATCTCCTTCCTCTGTCAGGCTGCTGGTTTTCATACAGTTTTTTGGAGCTTATTTACATTTTAAACTCTGGTTCTTCTGTCAAATCCATGGCGACTAACAGACGGACAGACAGAATTCTGCAGGTAGCAGGGCAACCACATGTCAAATCCATGGCGACTAACAGACAGACAGACAGAATTCTGCAGGTAGCAAGGCAACCACATGGGTCTCCCTTGCCTTAGGAAACAATGCTAAAAACAGCAGCAGTGACCTGCTTGGCCTCAGAAGTCTTGGGTGTAAATGATGATCTGTATGGGATGATTTGCAAGTGATTTTACCAAACAGAAATAACAGCCAGTAACACCTGATTTGTTCTCTCCCCTCAAATTCCCTGTAAGTTTACATTAGCTTTCCTTTGAAAAGGAAACCAAACAAGCCATTCCCTTTATATCATGCAAGAGTGATGTGCAAGTGACATCAGCCCTTGCACTTGCTGTTTCTGTCACCTAAGTGGCTTTTCTGACCATCCCCTACATCTTCCAGTGTTTTCTTTGTCCCTACAAAATCCTCCTCCTTGTTCTCTCTCATATGGCTGACTCCTTTTTCTGCTTTCTGTAATTTTACTCTTCAGGGGGATTTTCAGTGTTTGCGTCATTTGGATTTTCACCCTTTAACTGACCTTTCCCTGGTTGAAATTTCTCCTCTGTTTTGTGCTTCCCAATTATACTAAACACATTCGTCAGGATTTGAAAAGGTCAGAAAGAGCCTGTGTGCCTGATGTAGACCCTTCCAGAGCTTTCTACCCTCTTCTACTCCCAGGTGAGAAAGCAGGAAAAGAAGTGCGGAGAGCAAGACAAACTGAATGCCGACTTGTGTCACTCCACCATGCCGATTTCTTGGGGGGGGTTCTTGGGATTGGTGTGCGAGGGCTCACTGAGCAAGCTTTTCACAGATGATTTGTACAAGTCCCATGAGAGCCAGAGAAAAAAAGGCTGGAGAATGCAATAGAAGCCTGGATAATCTCTGACATAAACACCTCTGTACCTGAGGGGGATGAAAGCCAGGGCACTTGATGTGTCCATGGCTGTTGACACACAGTGGTCTCACACAAACCGCAGCAGCACCATCCTCCCATGCCTCGACCTCCCAGTGACTGTAAGCCTTAACAGAACCGCATCCCCATGCCAATATGTCCAAACACACACTGATACTACTCCCAAGCATGTGAAAAACCTGTTGGCTCTCCTAAACATGCTCACAAATACATGTGCAAGACTCGAACGTCCTGGCATGGGAAAGCTTGGAGCAGCCTGGTTCATTAGCACAGGAGCTCGCAGGCGGCCTGATGAAGAACAACAGACTCAGCCCCCTCAGTATCTGTCCAGAGTTGGCACGCCCTGTTCCGGGCATCCTGCCGTGCTCAGGTTTGGTACTGTGTGTCCATTTGTCACCTCCGTCCATTCCTGATGCAGTGGCAGGTTGCTTTACAGCTCAGTGCTGTCTCTACTGTTTTTTTTTTTTTTTTTTTTTTCCCAGGGTCAGCTACAGTCTTTCCTCGTCGCTTTATGATGAAAAGTTTGATTGTTTTTGAGGATCTGAGGAAATTACTTTTTTGCTTCCTCATATTTCAGACCCTGGAGTAGAAACTGTCTCTCTGTCATTGACTTTCTTCTCTCGCCCGTTGGCTGCTCAGCTGCTCCCTTCAGATTTGGTCTGTGCTTTCTGTTTGGTTCTTGATGGTGGAGGGAGATTTTCCTTGTGAAACACCCGGCCCCTCAAAGGCACATCAGCTTCTTTCTTTAATTTCACTGTCACATCCCTATCACTTCCAGACGCATCCCATCGATCCCCGGCATCGACGCCTGGGGACACGCTCAAAAGACCTGGGTGATCCCTCCACGGGTAAACCCACCTTGGACAGATCCCCTCCACCCCCATTGCTCCCACCGCACCCGTGTGTCCCATGGGCTCTGCCCGTGAGGCTCGACCGGACCTTGCCGCCCACCCCTCCGGGGGTTCGCCTCGCCGGGTCCGCCCGTCTGCCACCCCCCCCGCCCGGTACCGCGGCGGGCAGCGGGGCCCGGGGGCCCGAAGCGCAGGGATGATGGATGCGGGGATGCGGGGACGGGGGGCGGGACCGGGGGGTGGCATCTCCCCGAGGGTACTGCTGCAGGGCGGAGAGGCGGGGGGCGGCGGGGGTGAGCCCCGGGGGGCGGCCCGGGGAAGCGGGATCCCGGGGGGCCTCCGCCCCGCAAGGACGGACCCGTCCGGGGGTGGCAGTCGCCGGAGCGAGCTGAAGCGACGGGTCCCTTGGAGACACCTCTCTCCATGGCAACCTAATCGCTTCCTGTGAAGATCCCGAAATAACCGACGAGACGAGAGGGAGCGGAGCCGAGCGGAGCCGAGCGGAGCGGAGCGGGCAGCGGCGGCGGGGAGGCGACGGGGGGCAGGTCCGGCGGGCGCGGGGCTGCGGGAGCGCAGCGCGGGCGGGCAGGGAGCGGGAGGAGCCTTCGCGCCCGGCCGCCGGGGCAGGGGGCTCAGGGGCCGGGGGGACGCGCTGCCCCCGCCCGGCCGCTGCCCCCGCCCGGCCACCCCGGCGCCCCCCGCGGGCTGCAGCGGGGCCACGGTGCCGGGCGCGCCCGTGCCAGCAGCCATGGGGTTAACGGGAGGCAGCGAGCGAGAGAGACAGAGACAGAGAGAGAGAAAGAGGGGCTGGACCAGTCCTCGGCAGCTGTTTATTTCAAGGCATCTCTCGCTCCCTCTCCCTCAGCCAAGGCTCAGCCTCAGCAAACCTTCCTCCTCCTCCTCCTCCTCCTCCTCCTCCTCCTGCTCTCCTTCCTTCGTCCTGGCCATGAGAGGCACGGGCAGCAGCAGCTGTGCTCCCCCAGCCCCCTGCTCTGCCGCCCCGGCTGCGCCCCACTCGTCTCCTCGCAAGGTAAGTTCATCCTCTCGGCCCGGGATTGGGGGATAGAGTAGGGACAGAGCTGCAGAGGTGGGGGGAAGGGGGCTGCATGCCTGTCTCCAAGTCATCTCTCCCCGTCTCCTTCCCCGTGTCCTTTCTCCCCTTTTTTCTTTTCCCTTTCCCCATCTAGGTGCTCTGTCTCCTTCTAGCCGGCTGTCTCCTTCCTCCCCACTCCTTTTCCTCCTTTTTCAGTCTGGGGCAGGGGATGCCCGAGGGGCTGGGAGGGAGGGGGCACAGCCGAGGCATCGCTGCCTCTTGCCCTCCAGTTTCGGGCTCCATCACAGACCTGTTGTGCTGGAGCACTGGAGCCTGCGCTGAGGAAGGCGACTTCAGCCAAATTGGCGCAGCTGGAGAAGGGAAACAGAGGGGTCAATCCCTCCTGCTGCCTGGCCAAGGGTGCACCATGCAAGAGAGAGCAAGTCAGATGTGGAGACTCAGCACTCGAAACACTCGGATGCCCGGGAACAGTAGGAAACTGGGAGGCAGAAGATTGGCAGACTCATAACATGTATTGCAGGCAGGCACTAGATGGCAGGGGACCGACATCCTAGAGTGCTGCTTGGAATGGGGCCACATTCACAGTTCCCAAATGCAGGGAGACTTAAGCTCAGAGGACCATTGATGGGTTTCACACACCCATTCCCTAGGTACCAAAATGTCCAAATGCATCATCACCTTTCCTGCCCTGCATTCTGCCCCAGTCTTAGGATTTCCATACCCAGCCCCTAAGTGCTCAGTCTGGTACCCTGGCACAGGAATTCCCACTGGCAAGTCACCAAACGCTGCAGGACCTGCGCTGATTCAGGGCAAGCAGTGTCAGCCCCTCTGTGGTCCTGCTGGATCCTCCTGGGCGCTGCCACCAACCCTCTCATCCTCAGACACCAGGTAGAGCAGCCTGACGTGAGACACTGCATTCCGACTGCCAGCCCCCAAACTCAGCCTGCTCTGTGAGCTGCTGCCCCCAGTCCCATGCATAGTGGGAACTCTTTCCCCAGATGGGCTTGGCATCTTGCACCCCAGGGTACCAGCATTTGGATTCACACGCCCAGCTGCCAAAACTCCTCTGAGCACAGCGGAATTACCTCCCTGGGGCAGCTGCTCTGGGATTCCTGCCTTTCCCTGTCCCCACCCAGCCGAATACAGCAGGACGTATATATATAACCCTTTTTCACCAACACTGGGGTTTCTGCTTCCTTTTCCAAACCAGTAATAACTGCATCTCTGCCTCTTGAACCATGAACTCTGGGATGTTCATGACCACTGAGAAAAATACAGATGTGGGGTACCCAGGTCATCATGTGGTGTGTGTCAGGGTCTTGCTGCCAGCACCTGGACTCACTCCGCTCAGTGCTTGGAGATAGCTGCCAGGTTCCCTGGTCCCAGATCACAGTCTCATCGGTAGCTGTCACTGTAGCCCTTAGTGCTGGCTGGGAGTTTAAAAAATTACAGCCAACCTAGCGTTCCTTCTCTGTGAGGTGGGTTGGGTCCTCCTCAGGTTTGTTTTGATTTTTTTATCACTATTTTGAGTGGGATCATTGCCGGGGGGTAGCTGGGCGAAGCAAGGATTTGCATGAAGCTCTCGGTGCTGCGGGGTTGCTAATGGCAAGCGTTATTTCAGCCAGCAGCAAGTTTCACAATCTTGGCCCAGCTCCTGTGAACATTCTGTTTCTCAGGGTCATGAGCCTCTTTAACCTTCTTCCATCCCTTCCCCCTCTCCCCAAACTGGTTGGCAATTTCATTGTTCCAGTGGAATATATCCGTCATGTGAGGTCATCGCTGCATAAGGAGAGGTGATTGATTGCTTAGGTCACTGGGGCCTGTCCCATGCTGGGCTTTGAATGCTGGTTGGGAGACCTTGAACCGGACTCTGTGCTCAAAGGCGAGGTGATGTGGGGTGCAGAGGGATATGGTGATGCTTTCCCAGCAGCTTGAGTCGCTGAACAAACAGACTGCTGCATTCTGAACTAGCTGGAACACTCTGAGAGCAGGCAGCTTCATTCCTAGAGGCACAGTATCACAGCAGTCAAGCTTGAGATGTTACAAAAATACAGATAGATCATCATCTGCCAGCTGAGCCAGACAGAATCGGGTGCAACTCTTTTCCCATCCCCAGATGGAAGGAGACTCTACCCGCTTCTCGCTAACACGGCTTGTGTGCGCTCGGCTTCATCCAACTGCTCTCCAGTCAGAGCTGATCTCGGCTAAGCATCGAGAAAGCTGTGCGATTCTAGATTTTAAGGCCAGAGGGACCATTTTGATCATCGAGACTGACCTACAGCAGAGCACAGGCCAGAGAATTTCACCAATTTAATTTCCTGTGCCAAGCCCATAACTTCTGATTGAACTGTAGCATCTCTTTCAGGAATACAGCCAGGCAAAGGCTCCAGGCAGTAAGGAACACACCACCTGCCTAGGTAAATTGTGCTAGTGTGTGACCCTCTTTATTAATAGTATTGTTCCTCATTTGAATTTGTCAAACTTCAGCATTTTGTAACAGAAGGTTACAGATTGCATCTGATGCGAGGGAGCTACAGCATGGGTATTGCCTGCACACGTCTGGCACCTTGGCTGCATTATTCCTGTGACTTTTTTATTTGGACTGGATTTATCTATGGGGTGATAGTATACAAGAGTTCTGAACATGGAGAAGGAGTTATCATCAGCAAATCCTAGAGCTTTCCTGGGGCATGGTAGCATCTGAGCTCCAGAGCTCAGGGTGTAACATTCAAGGTTTAGTTTGAGCTCCCTGCTCGGAGCAGGAATGCTGCAGGCTTTGCTCCTAGCCATTAGGTAGGATGTAAATTCCCAGCCCTCCTTGGTGAACTGGTATAAATGCTTTGGGCCATGGCTACCAAGATCTGCTCTCTCACGTCCCAGCAGTGGTGGGTCCATGCTGTGGGAGACTTACAGAGAGGGAGGAAGCACAGATGGGTCCCTGATGCTGGGGAACAGCAGTGGATTCATGTTTTCATTCTGTAAATGCAATGAGAGCAGCTCCTAACAGATTAGCCCCAGTGTGTACTGATGGTGGGGTCCATATGCAGTAGCAAAGAACAATGTAATTCTTACTCCCTGCTTTCAAGCACCAAGATTCACAAACTGAGCTCAATGAAGTGCCCTGGGGAAATAGCTTTGTCATTCACACTCTGTCATCTGTGCATCACAGGACTGGAACGCTGTGGTGAAAACTCTGTACCTAGAGTGAAAGTATACGGGTTCCTGTTCGGACTCTGGGAGTAGCCCTGTCTGGTTTTATTGCAATTAGAGCTGGGAAACACGTATGAAAGCAAGAGCCATGTCATGAGGTACTGGTGCAGAAATCCAGTCTCTCTACTCTGGAGCATAAAGGCTTCTTGAATGGTGTAAGGTGGGATTTATACATTCAGGTAGTAAGAGCATTGGTGTCCTCTTCTCCTCTCTGAAGATCTAACAGTTTATTCAGGATCCTCACAGGGAGCTGCATACAGAGCTGAACTAGGGGTATGTGTTATGCTTGCCCTCCAAGGCAGCAGGGTCTGTGCCCAGGACACCACCCCCACTGCTGGTGGCTGACCACACTGTGCCCCAGACATCCTTTGTCTGCTGGTTTGTCAATAAGCCATAGAGACACCTATGCTCTGTTTTGAACATAAACGCTCCTTGCACAGCAGAGTCCAGCCTGCACTGGCTGGCATTTCCACCTGAAACCTTCGTTGATCCTACAGCTATGGGAGACACCTCTGTGCTGCTCCCAGCTCCTCCACAACAAGGCCTGGGTCTGCCAGTGCAGGACACACTCACTCTCAGTCTTCAGCCATGGCTTGATTAGCAAACCAGAATGTGTCAGCTGAGGCCGACTGACATTGCCTCATTCCTGCGCTCATCTGGAGCCACCTTTGGCATGGGGACACAGGGAGTCACTGGCTCTTCACTGCAGGCAGAAGAAACTGTGCACAGCAGTGTCTCAGGTCAGAGGTTTACACCTGGGCTGTCACCTCTTCAGCATCTTGTGTACATGAGGTGGTCAGTGCTGGAGCTCACTCCTTCCCCTCAGCTCATTACAGCCATTACCTGATACGTAGGGCTGAAATTTAGACTACTGGGTGTGAAAGCCATCCAGGATTTGGCTCTGTAGGGTTTCTTATTCCCAGGTTTTAGACCCTGGAAATCCATAGTCTGTGCTGCTGTTGCTGGAGCTCACAATCTCAGCTGAGACGTACAGCGAGATCTCCATCATAAGACCTCCCAACAAGCAAGGAGAGCGCAGTGACCCAGCACAGCACCATCCAGGCATGTTTCTGAGGGTTAGAGCCATCGCTGTTAGGAGGAGTGATGGAGGTTACACTTGCACCTCTACCGTACCACACCCTGAAGGACTGGCACTGAGGTCAACCTGTACCTGGAGAAGATCTCCCCTTCTGGGATGGCTGCATCCGCATCTCCTGCTTGCCTGATGCAAAACAGCCCGCAGCCCCTGAAGACCTGAGCTGTGACTGAGAATGCCGTGCAAAAAAAACAGAACAGGCTCTTCACCCTAGGAATCTACTGTCCCGCGGTGAGTTCCAGGCATGGTCCCAGGCACTCCAGGCCACCTTGAAACCACTTGTACAGCTTGTGTGCCCTCTAGCCTGGAGACTCACACAAGGAGGCCCTCGATGCTCGGAATTCCCCTTCTTTTTAAAGTCCAAAATAAATTCTGTCACAGATTTGTGTTGCCAGACATGATCTTCCACGGCATCATGATCATAATCCAGATGGCCAAGATCTCCCCAGTCTCTGGCTTCGTAAGAATCTTGCTCCATTCTGCTGCCTCTCTGCAGAGCTGCATTTTAACACTGAGTTCCCTCCAAGGCTTAGAGGTTCAGGAGCAAAGTACAAAGAAATGCTGAGAATAGCTGCTCTTTTCTCCTCATCTTCATCTCAGGATCCCTCCAGAGACTGATCTTGCCCCGGAGGGAGGGGCAGGGCACATTAGCCAACAATTCTTTTTTTTTTCTGTGAACTTTGTTTAAATATTTAACAGAAGGAAACTAAAAATATCCTCGGTTAATGCAGCAGGAGCTAGACAGCTACTTACTCTTGGGTGCCCTTCCTTCCAGCCCCTCTCCTCAGGTGTACATCACAGCAAGCACCAGGCTCTTCTCTCAGCAAGAGGAAGCCTCCCATGCAGGAGGGGCTGCAGTTTTAGTTCAGGGCATGGGCTGAGAAGGAGTGAATGGCAGTAACCCCTTGGGAGCTGGAGGTGCAGCGCAGCTGGCTCAGGGCTGGAGGTTCAGGGTTGGCCTCTGCATTCACTCCCTCAGCCAAGCATCCCTGTTTCTCCACCCTGGCAGCCACAGGAGGGCATGGCCGAGGGTTGTCGGCATTCACGCTTTCCTCTTCGCAGTGAAGGAGTGAGCTGAACATCTTGCATGATTTTTTTTCTCCTGTGTGTGCGTGCGGTTGCGGAGAGGATCCAGTGTGAGGCACATAACAGCTCATCAGGGAAGGGCCAGCAGCGCGCTGTGCACAGCCAAGGGAAGGGACAGGCAGCATGAAGGGCAGCTGTGCTACCACCGGACTGATGCCGGAGGGTGGTGCACGTCCAGTGCAGAAATCCAGCTGAGGGGACCTCCCCTTACTCCGTGTTATTGATGCTCAGCAATGGGAGGCGAGAGAGAAAGGGGAGGAACAGCAGAGAAAGGGAGGGATGGGACGGTGCAGAGGACATTAGGATGAGGAGTGTGGGAAGGTAATTTTATGTTAGCTAAGAGGAAAGTAAATACTAAATATTTGATAGGCATAGTTTTTCTCTTAAATTCTTTAGTAAGCCTGGACTTTTCTGGCTGATTCACTCTCTTTCTCAGTCTTCTTGGTTTATCACTCTCGTGCTTCCACTGTCACTCCCTTGCTCTGGCACACAATGAAGAGGCTCTTTTTTAATAAATGGATTACACGCTCTACACTATAAATAAACACAGGAATTAAGATTCCAACTTGTTCCAGCGATAAGCAAACAAAGATCCCGAATCCCCCTCTCGGCCCTCATACACGAGAGTCCCTGGGGAAGCTGCACATGTGCTTTGGCACGTGTGCTCCAGACATCACTCCTGGCTTTTGTGAGCATATGCTAACACGCGTGTTTCTGTGCAGCATTGCGATCAGGGGCACGATACACCTCTATGCAGGACAGCATGGGGGCACGAGAGCAGGATAGCATGCACACGTGGGTGCATGGACTCCCCTTATCCTGCCTGCCAGGGCCAGGAGCTCGCCTGTCGTGGCACACACTGCCTGCAGGGAGACAGCCATCACTGCTGTGAGGGGACACTGACACCCCTCCTTTCTGGTTAACAGTGAAGAAGATGAGACAACATCCTCACTGAGCAAAGACGCTGCTGCATCTGAGATGGAGCCCAGTGCTTGGTAGGTTCACAGCTTCCCACACTGGCAGGTGAGGAGGGGGCACAACAGGTGTGGGTGGTGGGCTCCTTCCAGCTGCTTGGCCTTTCAGCAGGAGGGACATTTCAGAAAAGGCTGTCTTCTTCCTCCCCCAACCCTGCAGCAGGATGCCTCCACTCCTCTCCTGCATCCACTCCCTGCAGCTGTGGCATCTCCTCCTCATCATCTCGGCCATCCCTCCTCCTGGCATCTGGTCTCTTCGCTCTCGCGTCCCAATGGCCGCTCGGCCTCTTTGCACCCGTCGGAGCCCCTCAGCCCCACGGCCCATTTGCATCTGGGAAAGGACCTCGCTGCCAGAGCGGGATTCTCGCTCGGCCCAGCTGCGCCAGCGTGCCCTGCCTGCCCGGGGAGCAGAGCTGCGGCACGTCGTGCGGCTGAGGCGCCAGGCGGCGGGGGCCCGTCCTGCCACCCCCTCCGGATTTGAGGACGGCATGCCCTCTTCCCAGTACCCCTGGGCGATCGTGTGGGGTCCCACGGTGTCAGACGAGGATGGAGGGGACACAAACTCAGCCAACCCAGGCTTCCCACCGCTGGGATACACATTTGTCTCACCGCACGGGATGGCAACGGCACAGCCCAACTCCCACTCGCTCCTGCATAACGCGGGGCTCAACCTGCGGGAGACCCCGGCCACCCTGCGGCCCTTCCTGTTTGGGCCCCGGGGGGAAGGTAAATCTGCCCTTTGCTTCTTTCACCTCCTGTCCCTGCAGGAGCAGCTCCTTCTGCAAAACTTAGATGTAACCTCCCCTTACCCTGCTGCTCTCTGGGGACCGGTGAGAGTGGCCATCACAACCCCTCTCTCCCTTTGTCTCACAGGCGTGGATCCCCAGCTGTACGTCACCATCACCATCTCCATCATCATTGTCCTGGTTGCCACCGGGATCATATTCAAGTTCTGGTGAGTAGGGTTTGGACCGATGGAGGCTCTCACTGTGCCGGTGTCTGCAGGTGGGTGGGCAGGAGGAAGGTGGGCTTTGGACCCATTTGTCCCACAAGTGCAGATCTGGTGCTGCAAGCCCTTGCAAGGTTTGGCACATGGCCAAGCTGGACTCTAACACTGAGCGTAGTGGGGTCCTTCTCACAAATCTATCTGTCACTGAGGGCAGGGGCTTGTCTTTTTACCTCACCCCTTGCTCTCTCCAAAGCTGGGACCGCAATCAGAAACGCCGGCGTCACTCGGGGCAGCAGAGCAGTGGGAGGCAGCAGGAGAGCCAGCAGCCTCTCACAGACCTCTCCCCCACCACCGTCAGCATCCTGGGGCCCTACGGCGACTCCCTGGCCCCCACACCTGAGGCAGAGGAGTCCAGGCAGGGCCAGGAGGGTGTGGAGAAACTGGGTGGCCATGGGAAGAACGCAGCCTTCCAACTCAACCGGTGAGTGGCTGGTGAGCCAGGCAGGAGGGGGTAGCAGGGGACAGCGGGACAGGCAGAATGAGGCATGGCAAAGGTGCCGTTGGTTAGTGGGGGCGGTGGGTTGGGGCAGTGTAAACGCTGATTAATTTACAATTCCCTCTTCCCCCCAGAATCCCATTGGTGAACCTGTGACGCTCCTGGGAGAGGCTGAGCTGGCTCCCCCCAACCCTCCTGCCACAGCTGGCGAGTGCAGATTCCCGCTGCCTCTGCTACCCCAGGAAACAACAATCTCCTTGTGCCACGGCCCACCACCACCATTATTAACTAACCCCACTGGGACGTGCCTGGGCGAATGGACGAGCTGGGCCTCCTTAGCCTCCTGCTGGGGGAAGGTTAGGGATCCTCCCGCCCACAGAGGACAGGGGGATGGGAGAGCAGGATGTTGGGAGGGAAGACAGCTGGTGGCGGTGTGAAATCTTGACCTCCCCAGCCCCTCTCCTTGCATATGTGCGCTGACACACTTGGATCTCCATGACTCTCTCACCAGTGCATGCCTGACATCTGGGGTAGGCAAGGTGGAAAGGCGTACCCCTGTCCCCGTGGGCCCTAACCCCTCCGTGTGTCTCCTCCCATGTCGTGTGCTTTGCAGTGAACGTCTGGAGTTCAGTGGCTGCAGGATTGCCCGCTGGGGCTTGGTCTCCCCTGAGCCAAGGTGACTCAGGTGGCAGCAGGTTCTTCTGTTCCTGAGGCCTTGGTTTTCCTGAGATCCCAAGGGTGGGTGAAGCTTGGGCAGAAGAGGCTCATGCAGTACCTGGGCCCCCTCAACAACCCATTTTTTTGAAGGAAACATTACCTCTCCCCTAGATGGAAGATATTCACATCTTTCCAGTTTCTTTCTGCCTAACATTCCTCTGTTTTTTTCTCTTCAACTTCCATCTTTCTTCATCTCTCAGTTCACAGTTTTCTTTCCCTCAGTTCCCACCACCCTTCCACTTCTCTTGCCAGTTAAAGTTGGAAAAGAATCCTTTAGCTTTCCAAATATTTTGATCTGTTGAAAGCCTCCTTGCTGTCCCCCTCCGCTCCCTCAGTCTTCTTCAACAAGGTTTTTCTGAAGAACACTGGTCTATGGTGATGTTCTTCAGAAAATCCAAGGCAAAGCCCTCTGCTCACAGTGTTACTTAGCAAGCATCCCGGACACTGCAGCCAAGGCATGGCATGCAGACATGGCTGGGAATGAGGAACTTGAGTTTTGCTGGGCTGAGGTAGGGAATTGCTTTCAGACCCTCACAGCACAGGCAACAAGCAGCCAACAAGACTCTCTGTGCCTGGTATGACAAAGAGCAATTTCGAGCTGACTTTGGGAACACTGGAAGGGTTGCCACGTACTGCTGGTAGATCTCTCCTGGAGTGCGAGGTGACTGGAAACCCATGAGACAATATTCACCAAGGGTGTTAAAGAGGGGATATCTGGGGTCCTAAGCTTCCTAAGTGTATTGCCCCAGCTAATTGGGAACTGAAAGCAACGGCAGAGGTATCTGTCCATACTGGTTGTCTCTGCATGTCCTTCAGGGCTGTGGTGGTCCATGGGACAGGCAGCCACACTGTCACTGTGAGCAAGATCCATGCATCTCCACCTCTTTCTGTGTGTGGACCCAGGGTGTCACTTTGAGGGAGATGGCAAATTTCAGCTTAATGACAATAGTTGCTCTCCCTTGCTTTTCTCTTTTGTGGACACCTTCAAATTAATTAAAACACCACACTAATAGCCACTGAGCTGAAACATTTAGGTAAGGTTGCCCCTATAGTGTTCAAACACCTTCAGCTGCAGGACTAATGTGGCCAGAGACAGGAAACTCATACACAATTTGAAGACTCTATTGCACGATACAAAATTTCTGGCAAAAGTCATGTTGGAAAGGAAATGGCCCTTTCACACTTTATCTCTGCAGTAAAAGCCTATTCTTTATAGGAAAAAGCACAGGGAATTTCATAAGAGGCTTGTTTCTGCCCATTTACCCAGACGAACTGTGAGGTGATCTCAGGTCCCATCTGACTCACTGTGAAGGACATTTAAATGAGAGTGTAAATTACAATAAGCTTTGCAAAAAACAGCAGAGATTTGGAGAAAATGACAGGTCAAATAAAATTACTGGCTTATTAAAAGCAGAGAATGGCTGAAAGGTGTAGGTGGAAAAGGACTCTGGAGATCTCTAGTCTAAGCACAAGGTTGAGTCTGTGCTTATAACAGGGGATATTAGTGCTTTACCATAGATCGATCTGTTACTGAGCCTGTTCTTATTCAGGCTTCATTCAAGGCTTTGGTGGACACTCAAGCTGTGAATGGACAGAGATGGGCCAGGTGGCTGTTCCTGCTCTCTGCCCCATTCGCTGCTGCCCCTGCCAGCTGAGGGCGGCTGGGGGCTGTTCCCCCTCTTGCTGGCACATCCGTGCTGGGAGGGGAAGGACATGTGCGCACAGCCTGCAGGAGGCTGCACTCCTGATTGCTGGCAGTTTACAATAGAATGCCTTGAACTAGTTTAAGTAATCTTCCAGACCAGATTAATTAGATTTTTCTTTGATCGACAGTGTTTCTTGAAACAAGGCCAGAGTTTGGACTCTTCACTTCAAGGGCTGTCCTTGAACTTTGTTTTTCCACATGATGCATGGAGAGAAGGTCTGTAAGAAAGTGGGAGGGGATCACAGGAGGCACAATGAAAACATTTTCCAACATTTGTTGAGTGGAAGCCCTGCGCTCTCCTGGCCAGGCTTTTGCAAATTCTGCAAACAAGTTAGATTTCAGTGGTTTGGGGTTTTTTCCTCCCCCTTTTACATGTCTCTGGTTTTGGAAAAAGTATCTCCAGGGAGTGAAAACTTTCATGGATACTGTGGTAAGGGGGAAGCTGGTGAATGCAGTAGAGAAAACTCTTACAACAACAGAAGCTTGGGTATGTTGAACATCTTTTCTAAGACCAATTTTCCTAGCCAAATATGTTTTTATGACAGTCATTCACTCTCTCACACAAAACAGGTTAGGTATGGGGAAACAACTTCACAGTCCTGCCCAAACATTCATTGCTGTTTTGTCCCTGGAACAAAACATTAAAAACACAAGTAAACACACAGGCTTCTTCCAGTCATTAAATAATCTCACTGAATCTGTTTTCCCTGAGACTGGAGCCTTATAAACCATCTTCCCCTATGGAGACTGTAGCCAGAGCATGCATGTAGTCTCTTCCCTGCCACAGGCTAATATTCTGTAAGATGTGCACGTGGATGTGTTGACAGCACTGAGTACCAAGCCAGAGCAGAGGCCAGCACCTTCTGAGGCACAGCTTATCAGTTTTCCCTGGCTTCTAGGTGAATAGAGGCGAAAGGTCTGGATTACTGTTTTTTCCAGTGGAAACTTTACAGAGAGAAGAGTGTGTGGGGAAAACAGCTGAAAATGCTCATAGCTTTTTGCTGATCCTGCCCAATATTTCTGTGCTGTTAAAAGGCAACATCCAGGTGGGCTGAGTGAGTTGAATGAACTATGTCTCTGCTGAGCTCCTGGAGAGTCCTGGCTTTGTTAATGCAAGGGTGGTCTCTCTGTGAGTGCAGTGGGAGGGAGGGAAGGTCTGAGGGAGAATCTCTCCCTTCTGCCCTATACTGTTTTGGAGCAGAAACTGGAGTCTCCCCCTTTTTACCCAAGAGAGTGGTAAGATTTGACCACAAGGCCAAATCCTGCTCAGGCTTTCCCATCTGGTTGGTTGTGACTGGTAGGCAGGGAACAGACCTCTGGTGTGTGCTTCCACACGTCTCCTCCAGTTCAGTTTCCAGGGACTCACATCCAGCCAAGCATCCCAAAACTTCAGAGAGGGCTATCTACCTCTTCCTCAATGGCACCCAAGTGCCCTTGCAAATATGGTCCCTTCATTTCCCACTCCATTTCCCGATAAAGAAAAATGCTTGGAAAGGAGTGGTTTGTTCATTCCCCGCAAGTTCTCAAACACGACCATCTTGAGACTGTTCTGAATTAAACTGGGGTTTTGCTTTTTCACTCTGACAAACCACATCTGTGGCACAGCCTTGGAGCTGAGGCCTGCAGCACAAAAGCCCTGGGTCAAACTCCAGCTGCCCAGCTGCACCCCTGCTAATGTCCCACTGTAGTGCTGGCCCTACTTTGGCAAAATCATAGGCATTGCCTTCCTTCACCAACTGCCAGCTCTTTACTCCTCTTCCCCTGTTGTTGTCCCTCTCCCACTGTTTTCCCTCTTCCTACTCCCGCCCTGTACCATGGTCTCCCTTCTGGGTATATCTCCCCTCCTACTGTTTCACTCTCCCCACTCCTCTCTTGTTTTCCCTTTGACACTTGGTCTCGTTCTGCTGCAGCTTTCATCCTCCCCTCCGGCCTCCCTCCTGCTTCCCTACTCAGTCTCGCTCTTCCCCCTCCCCTGCCCTTGTGCGCTGTGATATATATTTTTGTAGGATTTCTCTTCTCCTTGTGGTGAAATATTAAATTCTTGTGGGATGTTAGTTTCAACATTTTTAAATAAAACTTTGCAAAATATTGAAAGCAGAACTCTTGCTGCTGTGGAAGGTGCAACTCTGGAAAAGTCATGGTGGGATGAGAGGGACTTCGCCTTGGGCAGACCCCAGTGGGATGGGGGCTCAGACACCTGGCTTCCCACAGTCTCTTCTTTGGGGTAGAGGGGGAAATCTGACCACATATCTGTCTTGCTTTGGTCTCTTTGCTGGCCAAAGAGGCCCTTTGACCAGCTTCATGCATTTCCATGGGAAGTGGCCCCTGATGGAGGAGGAGCCCTTCTTCACTCACTTCTCCACCCAAAGCGGCTGTCCTGCCTCTGGAGCTCCTGCCTCCCAGCCTCACGCTGGGGCTGCATGTCTCACAAAGATTCATACCGGGGGCCAGGGTGTCCGGGAGAGGTGAGAGAAGCTGAGGGGAAGGGAGGGAGATGGAGCGCTGCAGGCACAGAAGCCTCCCTCACTGTTCCCCGCGGCTGCCTCCGCAATTTCTATTTACAGCCCTGCTGCCTCCCCTCCTGGCCACAGTGCTGCTGCTGTTGCTGGTTTCCAGGGCTGCTCTGTAATTAAGCATCCTTGTCTCCTGCAACTCCTCCACTTCGCAAGCCCGGCAGCAATCAGGCTGGGGGCAGGGGGCGCAGAAGAGGTGCTGGAGACCAACACCAGGCTTGATAGACACTCCGAAGGGCTGCTCCCCAGCAATGGCAGGAGGACTGCTCGGTGCTGGGTTCCTAGCAGTCATTCATAGCACCTGCTCCCTCTGTCCTGTCGCTTTCTGAGTCTTTGGAGCATTGGAGGTGTCCCTGATCCTCTGCTTTACTACTGGAGGAAGGAGCAGACTCCCCAAACAAGACCTGACCTGAGACTCTGTCCTGGGATCTCTGACTACTGGAAGGATCCAGGACCGCCTCCTGCTGCAGAGCCAGGTCCCTCCAAACGGCATCCTGTGCCCTGGACAGGATCTCTATGGGTTGGAAGTGGCTCCAGGCCCATCAGAGAGCCAACACGCTTCTGCGATGGCTGTCCCAGGGTACACACACATTCAGGGGCTGAAGAGCACCTCTTCTGCCCCTGTGCTGAGTGTGAGAGGACAGAGTCCTTCCCCCTGTTGCTTTAGGTGGCTGATCCTCTCCAGTCAGTGGCTCTGGGGCTGGGCAGGCTGGAGAGACTTGACTGAGGAGGCGACAGATTCTCACTGTGCTGAAATTACAGCCACGTACTCATCAATGCAGTGAAATGTCTTGCACAAACCTCATCTCCTTCCAGGCAGAGCTTCAGCCCTTCCTGCTGACTTCTCTGTCATCAGATGCTTTTCCTCTGGTGCCCTCCCTGCACAAGCTGAGGCTGCAGGCACTCAGTCAAACATTCCCTTTCTTCACCAGGACTCACTCTCTGACTCACAGGAGAAGTTCCACAAGCTTCCTCTTTTTCTTCTGGCTTCCTGAAACACTGACTCCCTAGTTTAGTCCCCTCCCATCACCCCTCCCCACTACATCACTCCTGCCCACCTGTCCATGTTGACTTCCCACCCTTCCAGCCTGGCCCCAGCCCTGCCTCCTTCCCCAGCATCTCCCTTCCTTTGCATTCTCCAGCCTTGCCTCCTCCCCTAGCATCTCCCCCGCATCCTGCTCTCCGGCAGGGAGCTAGCACTGGGAGTTGCATGCTGAATGAGGACAGCAGAGATGGAAGGAATGAATGCAATCATTTAAATCAAAGAAGAACATCTAAAAACTGTACAGTCACTTCAAGACACATAAAAATCACCCCAAGGAGTGGTCAAAAAAAACCAAGCATGAGGTATTGCTGACCGCTGTGATTTCCTAAAAAAGAGAGTAGTTCAGAAATATATTTTGAAAACATCTCCCAAATCTGGGATTCCCTCCAGCTGAGTGCCTTCTGTAACCTGCAATAAATTATCCCATTACAGGGAAAAAATACCCAGGCAACTGTCAGCTGGAAGTGCTTGTATTGCAGGGAAGTGGCAGTGAGCAAGAGCACTTGCTTGCATCCCCTGCTCAGCTTTTCCAGAGTTGGGGATGGAAGTTAGGACTCCATGTGCTCTGGAGAAACTCCAGTGTAAGCCTTTGTGCAGAAGGAATGGAGAGCTTAAATCAGATGTAGCTCCACACCCTACTAAAGGGACATGGCTAAATGGATGGCCATTTAATTAGCAGAAATGCACAACTTGAAACTGCCATAAAGAGTCGCCCTGAAACAAGCAACCTCTCATTTCAGTGTTGTGTGAAAGAGTGGAGTAGTTCCCTTGGCTCATTCCTGCTTTGATCCTCAGAGGCAGAATTGAATCTTTATTGAGGGCTGCTGTGTCTCCCAGTGCACATTGCACTCAGTGAATAATAGGCCATTCAGTGACGCATTCCACATTGATCCAAAGCCCAGCTTTCTCTGGGAGTGACCAGAATGCAAGAAAAACCATCTTCAACCTCAGATCAATCCTTACAAGAGATCTGGCAGGAAAGCAAATGCCAGTCTCTGCTCCAGGGTCCTGTCCTTCATCTCTGTGGTTCCTAGTTAGTGTTCCAGTGGCAGGAGAGCAGATGCTCTAGGGCAGCCAGTCTAGTTTGAAGCCCAGACTTCATCGACAGCTGGACTTACCGCGAGGGTTCAACAAACAAGCAAGCAAACAAGCCTGGGGTGACTTGTTTTCTATCAAGGGAACACAGTTTGATGTCTACAGCATGCACTGGTCAAATCTGTGTTACAGCCTGGCCTGAATGGGGAGATGGTTGGTTTCCTCATTAGTTTGGCTAGGAAAGGATGCACCAGAATCACAGGCATCATGACTCTCTGAGGTACCATCTAAGCCTGGATAAAGTGACACAGACAGTAGAAGCTTTCTGAGCCCTTCCCAAACCAAGGGGCAGGCAGTGATGGGTGTCCTCTTCTACTGTCAGGGGAGTCAATCTAGCCCGGTTTTGCACTGTGAACACACACAGCTTTGCCTGAACATGCTCATTAACCAAAACATGAGTGCAGCGGTAAAACATACCTACAGTGGAGGTTTGTGTCAGTCTCATTACACTGATTCATTTGGTGACACCAGGGCGCTATCTAAGCCTGAAACGGTTTCTCTCCGACGCCTTTTTCTGCTTTGCCAATTCCTTTCTTGTGTGACATATTGCATGTGAGTGAACATCACACAAATGAGGACCCAGGCTCTGCGTAGCATTACCCTGCGTTGGCTGGATACACAGCAGGAAATGTAAGAGGTTCCTTTATAATGAGATTTTTCTTACACTAAGCATCAGGGTCTCCATGACAATCCTGAAGACCAAAAAGACTGTCCTGGATAAATGAGGGGTTCTTGTAGCAACTCGTGTTGACCAGCTTACCTGTAGCTAACTACGTGGTGCAGTGATTCTGAGTGCAGCAAATGAGGAAGAGACAGATTTTCCTCTGGTATCTGCAATTTAGAGGAGGGCAGGGACAAAATGGTGACTAAGGATAACACTGCCTCTTCCAGGGTTTTGGTGACAGTTCTTTGTTGATGCTCAGGCAGTCCTGCAGAGACAAACAAATTGCCTAACTAAAATATAAGGAGCTGAAGCTGTCAAGCAAAAGCCTAAAGAGAGGTATGAGGGAGCAGGAACATGAGGGAGGACAGGAGAGAGTGGGC